CCCTCAAAATAGTGTTTCCTTTACCACTGGGACAAAAGTTAAATATGTGAGCTCTGTTCAGAACTGATGATGTGTTAGATCTCTTTTTCCTCTAAGTTTGTTACTTACCTAATTAGTTTTGGTTAGGAAACCAATTAACTGGCAATCTGTTATTGTTATCAACTAGACCAAAAGAAAACCTCAAGAAAATGCAGGTTCCTGGTAAAGTTATTAGTGTGGCAGGTATTTTCTTAACTGCTTATCAGAAACAACAATGTGGACAAGGCTCGAAAATAGAAAACTATAAAAATACTTGCAAAAAAATCTTAAGCACTAGATAATTGAAAGGACTGTCTCAGAAGTGAACTTTAATCTCCACTTACTAAAATGTGAGTTAATTGAAAGAGGTTTTTAATTGACATGTAAATGAGAACACATTCATAGAACATAAAAATCACAGGCTTTTAGATATTCGGTCATTTATATATTTTAATTTATGAAATAGCATGTACAACATCTCTCATATTATCCTTCTAATTTTCAAATACCAGGTCTACTCCCTTTAAGCAGGCTATTGAATCAGAGTACTACATGCAGAGTTTTCCAACTGTTTGTCACATTCATGTGCTGGGGTGGTGATTGCCTTGTCCTGAGGTCTCTGGTAGAGCCTAGAACTGCTTAACCATCCTTTCTCTTTCCTCACTTTTGCTAGTGTGCCTTATAGGTTGACCAGGTTGAGGGTGGCAAGTTGTGTCGCCACAGAAACAGTGGGTTAATAAGTATTATAATCTGACTTTTTGTATGTAAAAGTTTTGCAGAAGAAAACTAGTATTAAACTTTTAAAGTAATATTTGAATCTAAAAATTATAAATAGTTGAATTTAACCAACTGTTTAGTTTTCCTCGTTGGAATTCTGCCTTTCTAAATAATAAATAGAATTTTAAGGAACACCTGATTTTTTTTTCAATCATACAATCTGAGGGGGTTTCTTTTTTTATCTTTCTGAGTATCTTTCAGGAATAATATTTTAGTAAAAAGCCTTCCCTTTTTTGTTGTGAAATTCCTAAATCCCCTATTTTTTATTAAATACTACCTTTCCTCCAAATAAATCCAAGTGCTATAGCTTTTTAGCTTAAGTGCACTATGATCCACCTTTGGAGGAAACATCTTTGGTGTCACTTGGTTACTCTTTGTATGACATTTTTAATGATTCCTATCTTGTCTAACATTTTTTAAGCAAGTGTCCATATGGAAAACAATTGGTATTATTACTAGTCATTCTGTACTTTTCAAATCTAAAGTACTTCTCTATTTAATATATATATACTTTTTACCTATATAAATATATATATACACAGATAAATATATGTATGTACATATTACATAATGTTATATATTAATATAGATATATTAATATAGATATATTTTATTATATATTCTATAGTATACATATAGAATAGAAATTCTGTAATATTTCTCTATTCCTGAACTGCTGTCTTATATAATATTAGAATTTATTTTGGGCTTTGTCATTTTAATTGCCCTAAGATTTTTTTTTTTTTTAAGATTTATTTATTTGTGCTTACAGAACTGGGGTATAAGCCAGAGGCTCAGGAGTGGCGAGAGGCTTCACCAGAGACAGAGTGGGGAGCAGAACAGGCAGATCAACGAAGTACACTGCTGAGGGGAGCAGCGGGCGGGTCAGGAGAGGTCTGCCATGCCATGTGGTCACCTCCGGGGCAGGCGGGAATCGAACTCATGCGGAAGTGGCTTTAGCTTCTTAGTGCTATGCTTCAACCCGCTATGCCACCAGGGAGGGCCTGCCCTAAGATTTTTATTTTATTCCACATGATATTGATCAACTATTTCAAAGAAATGATATGATGATATAGTAAAATTAAACTATTTTTAGAAGTCATCAAAAAGGACAGCTGAACATATATATACACAATGAAATTATTCTCATCAAATTAGTACCTGTTGAAAGTACTTATCTACATACTCACTTGCCATTTCTCGTGAGGCACTTAGGGTTTAGAAAATGCTTATAAGAACAATGGCTATGTTTATTGTATATCAGTGAGTATTGTCCATGTATTTTTTCTCTCTCTTACATTCTTTTTACTTCACTCATTCATTACTTGTTTCTTTCTGGCTGATATCCTTTCCCACTTTGGGGACATACACATCTACGGTAGAGTAAGTCTAGAGGCAAAGAAAATCTTAGCACGAGATAGTCATGACAGACTGACTTTGAGAAGCAGGTTCATCCTTTTTACTATATTCTTTTTCTATGTCTTTGAAATATTTCATTTAAAAATGAAGTAGATATACTTATGTAAGTGTAAGTGATGTTGGGTAACTGAATTGAATATATGGGGCATGAGTTTGGGGTCACAACTGTGAGGTATTTGTAACAAATCAAAAGAAGCTAATTTGCTTTCTTCATTGTTTCTCATGTTCAAAATGCTATAATTTATAATAAAAAAAGTGACTTTTAGGCAACCATTTCATTTAGTTTCCTTGTCTAGAAAGCAGCAATAGTAATTGCATTTATTTCCTGGGGGGTTGTGATGATTGTTTATTAAGAGTTTTGATGATTCTAAGCACATTAAGCCCTAGTCTTTCTCTACCCTGCCCCGACAAGAGAATTAAATAGTTTTGAATAACTATTTTCTCAATTCTTCTATGGATGCTGCATAGTAATATCTTGCATGCATATGAGGTAAGTTAAATCTTTACAGTGATGCTTGAGGCATAGTGGCTCAATTAAGGTCTATTAAGTGTTCAAGATATGTTAACTGTTAATACTAGTTTGGTGGCAAACAACAGAAACCCATTTTCATACTGGTTTACACAATAAAGGCACTTTATTGGTTTGTATAAATGAAAAACCAAGTAGGAAAGATTCCAGAAGTGTTTTAATTAGGACTCTGGTTTAGTATCTCTGCTGCTTTATTGATTCTGCCTCTTCTTGCCATCAAACTAATACTAAATTTTTCAAAAAACAAACAAACAAAAGTTTTAAATATGACCTAATGAGTAAAAATGATAAGGTATCAGAAATGTAGCATATTTGGAATATAGTAGTTGTTAGATGGTTCTTTGTTTAGATGATTATATGTGATATTCATGTTTTAAAATATATATGATAAATTTTTAAAGTTTATAGAAACTGTAGCTCTTTTTTATCTATATAAATATTAGTTATATCAAACTGCCCCAGCAGACTTTATTCCAATGAAAAGATTTTAAATAGAATCCCAAAAGAAGACAAAAAAAGGGTAGGGTAAGGAGGGCCATCCCCTCCCTGGTGGCGCAGTGGGTTAAAGCACAGCACTGAGACGCTAAAGCCACTTCTGCATTAGTTCGATTCCCACCTGCCCAGAGGTGACCACATGGCGTGGCAGACGTCTCCTGGCCCGCCCGCTGCTCCCCTCAGCAGTGTACGTAGATCTGCCAGTTCTGCTCCCACTGTGTCTCTGGTGAAGACTCTCACCACTCCTGCACCTCTGGCCTGTACCGCAGTTCTCTGTGCATAAATAAATAAATTTTAAAGAAAAAAAAAAGGGTAGAGAAGGAACACTTAAGGCTTATAGCAATAACTTGATGAAAGGATTTGACAAACAGATGAAATTTTCATAAAAATGGAATCAAGGACTTCATACAGAGGAGTAATCCTGTTAGAATTGGTCGGGTACCCTGGCTCTGCTGGGGAGCTACCCATCTTACTGCTGGAGCAGTGCTAGTTACTTCTTCCAAGGATGTAGTAGAGGATGTAGAGGAGTGTAAATAGCAAAACAAGCCACTTCTTACTTGTGAATGGAGAGAGAAAAAGAGAGTGAGCTCCACAGTTGAAATAGCCCTTCACTGCAATTTACTCTCAAAAAATAGGATGCGTTTGAAAACTACAGGTCTAAAAAAAATAAAGCCCATAAATAAATAGTCTTAAGAAGATGTTTATAGGAACTTCAGAGTTTACTTCTGTCAGAATGTATGTCCTTCGTGAACTGAAACTGAATGACATTCAGGCTGTATTGTCAAGAGATAACAGCAAGTGCAGACAGTGTGTCCAGTGTCAATTATGGGGGTAAAAATACATATATGTGTGTATATTTATGTTTAATATATGTACAGCATCTCTTGAGGACTAAACTAAAAAACTACTAACAGTGGTTGTCCTACAGAAAGATTGGGTTTAAAAATAAACCCAAATTTTCCTGGTACTGGAAGTTAATCAGTAGTTTCAGTAGATGTCCCTGGATTAAAATTGTGTAATATTTCAAGCAACAACACATGACTCCTAATTGCAGAAAACTTGGAGGTATCAAAAATAATTATGCTTTCACTCTATAATATGCCTTTATCTTAAAAGTTCACATTTTTAGGCTGCATAAGAAAAAAAGCAGCTCCTTCCTATCCCAATCTGTATCCCTGGAAAATGCTCCCAACATCATTCTGGAACTATCTCTTTGGGTTGGAGACTCCCTTTTAATCAGGGAGTCCCAACACACTTTCCTGAGCTAATCAAACAGAGCAGATGTAGTGCTGCCTCCCTCCTTTTAAAAATGATTTAGAAGAACCTCCCCTCCCCCCCACCCCCTTCTTTCTCTGTTCCCCAAGCAAGAGCAGATTCCCAGTGTGGCTGTTGAAAGCTCACCACCACCTCAACTGAGTATTGAGTCTCTCATATGGTATATGAATAAAGAAATAACTGCCCTTAAGATAACTAGATAATATTTTTAAAAGTATAGGGTAATTTTTCCACTAGAAAAACCATTCAATTATTGACTTCTAAGAGTCTATCAAGAGGTACATTTTGTAAATATATCCACTGCAAACAACTTCCATTAGGCATTATTTACAAATATTCAGTATAGTTTACATGAGTCATTTTTCACATATAGTTTTGAGAACAGAGTTGTGAGAATTTAGTCATTAAATAATATGCTTTATGCTCCCTTTTAATCTGTAATGTGTGAAAATTGTCTCTTAATCTTGTTTGTATTGTCACAAAACAGAAAGAAGAAGGAAAGCTTCAAGGACAGCTTAACAAGTCTGATTCTAACCAGTATATTAGGGAACTGAAAGATCAGATAGCAGAGCTGAATCATGAGGTAAGTGATAAATTTTGATCTTCATGTATTTCTTTCTTCCTTCCTCTCTATTGTAAAACACTTTTATTAGTAGTTATGACACACTTTTGATGATGAATATTTTCTGTGAACCTTGGTTACAATTACTATTATTTTAGATTTCATTCAGCTTCTTTAACATGATCAAAAATAATTTACAAGTTAATTATTTTTTCATTTGTTCTGTGGAAACACCTGATAATGTGTCTAGGTGTCAGAGTTACTTTAATTAAACTAAACTAAGTGTCTTTATACGTGTAGAATGGATTTGTGGTATTTACCGTTGCAAATAGAGGGAAGTCTTTTTACTCTTGTCTTCTTTTTCTCTTCATGGTGGTATTACTGAGATTGCAAAAAAGGATACTTGCTTAATATCAGTTAACAGATTTCTTAGTATCTGAATGCTTCTTAAACTGGCACTGTCTTGAATCTGTGAGTTTCAACTCATGAAATTTTTAGTTTTATAAGTTACTGTATTAAGTAATTTAGTGTTTTATTAAGTGAGAAATATTATGTCAGTTTCCTTTTTCTTGATTATTTTGTAATGATACATACCTAGCTAAGCAAGAATGAAAATTTGTTTTATTTTTTGAATTATTGGTACAATAATATTTAATCACAGTGATGAGATAGGAGTAACAAAACTCGCTTGTTAAGTAAGAAAGAAGAAACTCGGGTGACTAAATTAAATTAAGCATCAAAGGAAAAAGTGAACATTACTCTTTCCTGGCATTACATTCTTCAGTTAAAGTCTTAGAATTTGAGGTATTACCTATTAGAGACTAGAGGTAGTCAATCTAAATAAAGACTGAAAGAAGAAACAAAGCACTAACAAAACTGACAAATCTTAAATACTATTTAATTTAATTGGTCCTAATTACAGGAATGTTGGGTCATTCCTGTAAATGTTGTTTCTCTGCCATGATAACATTTGAAGGATGGAGGATCATGTGTGATCTTTTATCTGTTTGTATGCATTTTTTATAATCTGTTCTGGCCTAACAGCCATGTTTGAAAGAAACAAGTTACAAATAAGTGTGTTCTGGAATTCTTATTCTTTTGACCAGAGGGTTGTCAGCTGTAGGGTTGACAACCTCATGTTCAAAGGAAATAACTACAATAAAGCATTTATCCATTTGTAATATCACTTTCTAGTGATAAGGAAGCTCCAATGTTGCTAAATTAAGGAAATTATCTCTGGATTGACTTTATTTCTAAGACTAGTCTTAAAGTCTGTCAACAAACACTAAGTTTGTCATCTACCTTAACTAAAAGTAGTGGTACTTTTATCAGGACTACAGAAAATAGTTAATATGAAGTTAAACTTTAATGTTAGTTTCTTTGTGTATGGCCTATGAAGCAATCTTTTATATTGACACAAAAAAAAGTATAACAATTTCTGTTATAAAATAAAGAGCTAAGGGTACAAACTAAAAATCAGAACGATTTTTAGTGAGATGCTAATTGAGCCAGAGTCCTGGTTGAGATGCACACAATAGAAAAGATGATATGAGTATGGCTGTGGGAGTTCAGAGGAGACCTTATTTCAGGTAAGTCTTAATGTGACTATACTGGGAAATAAGGGTAGATTAAATAGAACCAGCTTGTGGTGCATTCTCAAAGCTAGAAGATTAAATTTGCCAGATAATATAAAACCATAATAAGTCTTCAGTTGATCACTTTCCATTATGTTCTTTGAGCAGATTTTAATAGATTTGCTTATTTCAGTGTTCTTTTTTAACTTAACACAAGTTAAAATTTAAACTAAGATAGTGATTGTAAGAGAGGTACAAAAATTGCTCCTTTGGAGCAGCTTCTTAAAAGGATTAAATTGTCACTTTCTTATTCTAATAATGTTTCATTCTTGTGATATAAAACTTCATAATGGAAGATAAACAGTCTAATCTCTTGCCTGTATATTAGAATTTGCCAGTCTTTGACTTTCCACATAAAAACTAACTTTCATGTTTAATTTGTATTTGAGCACATGACTGTTACACGTCACTTTGTTAGCTCAATTTTGTACTTTTCTTACTTATTTAGGAAATATTGAGACAACTTTGCAAACTATTCTTTCTGAAGATACAGCATGTTCCTACATGTTAAAACAATGGTGGTCACTTAGCCTAGTCCAGGAAATGAAACAGAAAAGAAAATTAAAGTAGGTTATCTACTTTGAGTGACTAATTATACTTTGGGTCCATAAAGGTGCCAATAATAGTTCTGAGTGCCCTTCGCCAGCCAAGCATTGTATCAGACACTTCATGTTATACTGTTAACTGACCGTGGTGATCCCATGTGATGGTAGTATAGTTCTCAATTGAATGAATGTGGAAACAAATTAACAATGATTTAGTAATTAACTTGCCCAGGGTCACACAATGATTGAGCCAGGGTTGAATACTCTTTGCCTGTACTCTTCTGTGCTGCTTCCAGGGACATTAGATTAGCAAACATGACGGTTATTTAAAACTTTAAGGATGAGAATTTATAACAACATTTTAACTATATTCTTCCTTGACATGAATGTCCATACATCCAGGAAATTAATTTGAAGTTGACCTAGCTACAAGAGCAGCTTCCTCTCTCTCCTGGTTAGCGCTGTAAATGAGATTTATCTTCACTTTCTGCTGTTTATCTCTGTGATCCAACCGTGTACCTTTTCTGACTCCCAACTCCTGAACTTCCTACCTTTACCATCTAACTAATTTTGCTCCTAATTTTACCAACTTCCCATAGGAATTTTTAATTTGGAGTTTTTTAATACCTGCCTAAACCTTTATTGAAGCCACTGTGGAAACCCTTCTGCCCTAAATCTGGCAAAACTGTTAACAACAGCCCTCCCTTAAACCTACATTCTAATTGGTTGATGTGCATAGAAAAGAAGCTGGGTGGGTCCCCGTTCATGTACTTTCCTTATTTCATCTTCCCTGCTTCCTACCTTCCCACCCGTCTATCATCATAGTACCACCCAGGCACTGGATTTAGAACTGATGATATGTGGTACATGTACATACAGAACACTACTCAGCTATTAAAACAAAAGTAGCAACATGGATGGAAATGGAATTGTATATGCTGAATGAATCATAAGGAAGAAGACAGATACTGGAAGCATTGACTCATGTGGAATATATATATATATATATATTTTAATCATAATAAAGGAACACAAAAACCAAACCCAAACAAACCTTGGGTTCTGACTGTAGAGGATACCAAAGTGGGTGGGGAGAATAGTGGAGGACACTCATTGACCTTTGTTAGAGGACTATGGTACAAAGCATGTTATACAGTGACAAAAGCCAGTGTTAGCTCAATTAAAAAAAAAAATAATTTCTCCTTATAGCCACATTCTGCTGATAAATGAAGATGATATAGTTACAGTATTCTTAGCTTTTAAATCTATTTGTAGACATACATATCATTGTCCATGAACCATTCTTGTCAAAATGTAGAACCAGAATCTTACCCAGTCACTAGAGATCACTAGTAGTTCAAAAGAAGTACAAAAAAATAAGAATCACATACCACCACAGGGATAAGTTAACAAAACCTACTAGGACAAGGATATTTTACAGGAAAAAAAGCTAGCCACATTGTCAAATAAATTGCAGAGAGAAAAAGAAAAAAAACCTGTAGGTTAAAGGAGCCCAAAATGATATATCATCCTATGCCATGTTTAGATCCTGATCTAAGCAAAATGTCCTAAAAATTCGTATTTTTAAAAATTTATTCATTTATGCATATAAAAACTGGAATACAGGCCAGAGGTGTGTGGGGGGCTGTGTGTGAGAGGATTCCCTATAGACAGAGTGGGGAACAGAACAGGTGGATTGACTGAAATGCACTGCTGGGGATAGCAGCAGGCGAGACAGAAGAGGTCTGCTGCGCCATATGGATCACGTTGGGGTGACCAGAGATGGAACTGGCCGGGGAGCAAACTCGTGCTGCAGTGGCTGCGGATAGCCTCATAGTGCTGTGCTTTAAACCCTCATGTCATCAGGGAGGCCCCTGTAAGAACTAATATATTTTTTAAAGATTTATTTATTTATTTATGCATACAGAACTGGGATACAAGCCAGAGGTGCAGGGGCAGTGAGAGGATTCACTGGAGACAGAGTGGGGAGCAGAACAGGCAGATGACAAAGTACACTGCTGAGGGGAGCAGCGGGCAGATGGGGAGAGGTCTGCCTAGCCATAGATCCCCTCCACAGCCAGGAATTGAACTGAAGTGGCTGCCACCATCTTGCAGTGCTGCATCCTAACCCATTGAGCCACCATGGAGAGCCCTGTAAAAACTAATATTTAAGACAAGTTAGGATTTTTTTTTTTAACATTCTTAAATTTTTTAACATTGTTGTTTATTTTTCCTACCACCAAAGTGCCCACAGTCTTCCACCACACTCCACATGCTCTCTCCCTCACCACCACCCCCCTCTCCTTTACTCTCCATCTCCTTCCTTCACCTATCCTGAATGTCCCAGATCTCTGATCTTCTTTCAAGGGTGAGCCTTACAGTTTGTCTGTGTCTGATCCTTTGTTTTCCCTAGATTCCACATATAAGTGAAGCCATCTAGTATTTAACTTGTTCCTTCTGGCTCACTTCACTTAGTATAATGCCTCCCAGTTCTATCCATGTTTCTACAAATGGCATTAATTTTTTTTTGATCACTGAGTAGTATTCCATTATGTATTTATACCATGTCTTTGTGATCCATTCATCTGTTTTGGGGCATTTGTATTTTTCCCATATCTTGGGTATTATAAATAGTAGTTATAGAAGTGTATGTCTCTTTTCAAATTAGTATATTTTGTGCTCTAAGGATAGATACTTAGGTGTGGCATTTACCATAATATGGTAAATCTATTTTCAGTCTTTTAAGGAATCTCCACATTTCTTTCTATGGAGGCTAGAATGTCTACATCCCCTCCAGAAGTGTAAGAGAGTTCTCTTTCTCCACATCCTGGCCAGAACTTGT